TGATCTTGAAACAAGTCCTGGAACAGATGATGACAGGCATGGATGAGTTTGTGGACTTAATGTTTCCATTGTCTCAAAGTTTTAGAGACGTTTTGGGGAACGCCTTTTTTAAAGATGTGGACTTCAGTTTGGTCTTTTGATAATCTAAAACCTGGATCATTTGTACTGCTAAAGTTTTAATAAACTTGAAATGAAAAACAAATTACATGTGTAATACAGTGTGCTGTGTTTTAAATATGTCATTGGATAATGTATCCTTCCTGTGTGTTGTCAGCTAGAAAGGTAACTTCCATGCCACTTTGATTTTTTACCTGATGAACATAGTTCAGTGCGAGCAGTGGCTGCCTGTGAAGAGGCTTGTTCCATGTACAAAGAAGAAAACTGCAGATATTACGTGTCATCTTAAAGCTAGGAGAATATTGCAAAGTGTCCATTAATCCAGTCTTGCTACATCTGTATTTCAGTAGGTATAAATCCTAAGGAAATTTATTTATAGAGGTAAATTATGTTAGTTTTTATTGTAATCACAAAGTGAATTAATTTAAGTAAATCTTTATTGTTTGTACTTCTGTCACTGCCAACAGTAGAATTCATTCATGTAAGGCAGTCATCTGTGTTTGGGAGTTATTTCCTTGTCCTGAACAAAAATTTTTAGTGCTCATCAGTGTAACTTTTTTCCCCTGTAACCTTTTTCCATTCCATGCTTTTATGTTTATCTGCTGCAGAAATGGATGCTTCAGACTACCCTACCTCAGTTGATTAATTGGTGGATACACAGAGATAAAGCAGATTACCAGAATTTATGGTGGGGTCAGAATAAGGAACCAGGAAATCCTTTCAGCTGTTGTTTCTTAACAAGTCCATGAGAAAACTCTTCCATTTCTTCAATACTGGCTTTTGAGACAGTTGAAACAGAATTAYAAGTAATGTTTTAAGACAAGCTCTTACTATTTTTTTTAATTGAAATTGGCTTTCTTCCCTGTTACCCCTCATTCTAAAGACCGTACTGGACATTCCTTCTCATTCTCTACCATGTSTGTCCCTCAAAACAATTTGCTCCCTTTTCTGCTTTCCTCTCCTGCTTCCAGGTCCCACCTCAGTTTCTATTTCCCCACCACACCTTCATGTGAAAGAGAAGGAGGTTGGTTTGTGTTGCTGCAGCAGTGCCCCTGTACATGCAATCCCCAAAGAGCAACCAATATGTGGTAGCTCAGTGCAGTGGTCCAAAAGGAGAATAGATTTGGTACAAACCCCAACACTTACTCCAATCCTGGAAACTATTCATACCTAAGACTGGCAAATCTTGAAAGTCTTGGAGGGAAGTGACAAGCATTAATCTTAAGCTGTGTCAAAGCAAAACAATATTGTAATAGTTTATTCTTTTTGCCAGATCTTCCACTGGAGGACACAACTTGCTTTTGCTGTCTTTGTAATGAGTTTGTCAGCATTTTCACTTTATAACCCGTTTTGTGATCATGTGTTTACAGCAGATTAGGAGAAATGCTGAAACTTGCTTGACATTGTGACCCTGATGGTTGTGTCTTGAAAGCAAAAGAAAACGGAGGATTGTGAGTAACATACACAATGTTTTTAAAGGAAGAAAATTGTAAGTGCRTAGAGTTAGTTTTTAGCAGAATAGTTAGTGGAGCTGCTTTGGCTATCAAGCGCTTTTTTACTTTTTAACCACATTTTAAAAATGTCTCCTATGGATTTTGCATTGCAGTGGTCATTTTATGCAGAATGTTTAAAAATGCTCCTAGGTCCGCACGTGGGTGGATGGCACAGGTGTTACTTAAGAGAACTTAGAGGAGTGAACCAAAGACCTGCATAGTCRACCTCTTCTGTCGGAACTTTGTAGGACTGGAGAAGTTTCAGTCCTATTTTGGGGGACTGTAGTAAGAAAGGTAGGAAGCTGGGTTTCAGAAAATTATGTGGCAACTTAACCATGCATTTATACTGTGCTATGCATGCCATGTGCTTCAGAGTCTCATTTAAAAACTGTTTGCAATGTTGTTTCATTATTTTTGATGGAGCTGACACACGAGCAAGCTATTGCTGAAGTATATTTGCACTACTGAGAATATTCTTGCCAATATCACTGAAACTTGTATAAGCATGCATACAAAACAATCCACAACTATACTGACTCTGCTGTAGAAGAAATGCAGGGCAAAATGCAGGCAGCCAGCAATACAGCAATCCATTTTTTTTTATTTGCCTTTAAAGTCTCAAAATGGAGATTATAATCAATTGTAGTGTGTGGTTGTAACTACTTATTTCAAAAGATGCACTTGTATACCCTTCCATATGGACTTCTTTACAGTTCAGAAAATGACTTGTACAAGTTAAATGAACYCTAATTCTGTCATAGCACATTAAAAAATCATCTGAGTTGGTGGCACAAAGCCCATTTTCTTGTTTTTAATGTACTTTGGGTTTTTTTAAAAGCTGGTTACACTAAATTGCAGGTGGTGGGATATGCTTGCCTGTATTCTATTCGATGGTAAATTGGCTTAGTGTGGAGCACTTCGTTTAAATGAACGCAATTTCAGTCTTGTACAAGGGAGGGTTTGCCAGATTTGTGCTTTTCTATCAAACTGGGAATTGAGAATGTTGATTAAAGATTTGGTGGGACTAAAGCACAATTCCAGGGACAGCAAGATGTCCCCAAGCACTAAKCAGTTCATGCTGCCTTGTGAGTAGGCACTGACTAGTGCTCTTGCAGTCCTGGAACTGTTTCTTCCCTCAGTGACAGAGCTTTCCTGTTCCTCACAGTAGCCACATTGTGCTGTAGTCACGGTGTAGCTCAGTGCCATCTTTGACATCTGTGTCACAGATCATTCACTGGCTTTTTGCTTAGAGGGCTGATCTGGAAGAATATCTGAAAGCAATACTCAGGTGAACCAGAGGCAGTAAAAACAATGCTCATGGACTTTCCTTGTGAATGTGGAAAAAAGCAGTACTTGTAGAGTGCAGCTTTTTCTGATAGAACTGACCTTACTCCTGGGAATTTGTGAACCCCAAGACCSAATGTAGAATAAGGCCAGTGTTTACTGAACTGACTTTGTAAGCATAYGTTTAAGTGTCCATACAGGCTTGAAATAACTTCCAAAGGTTAGACATTCATTCTCTATTGTGTCAACAATAGATGCTGACATTTTACTAATGCCATGCAGCATATAAACACCTGGGAGGCTGAATTTATGATTGGCAGTAGTTTTCCAAACTTTTTTAGAAAGAGATTACTTTATGCTGGATTCTCTGGGTTCTGCCATCAACTCAGAAGCAGAAATTCTTGCTGAGGTTGGGTAGATAGAATGTAAAGTTATGTAGACACTATTACCTGTAAAAATGTGTTGCTGTCTGCTAATTCTTTTACACAGCCGRAGTGTTTCAGTTGTTCTATTTGTTTCAGTTGGTTGTTTTTAAGAAAGAAAAAGAGGCAATGGTTACATTTTAACCCTTTGTTCTATTTGGTTGTTAGAATTTTAGCCTGAAACTTTGCACTTTGTACTTGAAAGCCCAGATTACAGGGTTTTCTTGCAGTGTTGTCAGATGCCTTGAAGAATTTGCAGTGATCCCTAATAATGTCTGAYTTGTAATAGTGTCAGTCTAGCAAATGGATTTTAGGTTAATGTAAACACAAAAGAAGCGGTCCTTTAGCTGCTTTTTCTGGAACTGTTGATTTATTGAAGCAAATAAAGTATTTTTGGACACACGTCTAGGGGTAAAGTACCTCATTGCTTTTCTGATAGACAAAAATGTATATTCCTGCTTTTAGGACTTTCATTGTAATAGAAAACCTAAAGACATACATACTATACTTCATCAAAGCTGCAGCCATGAAAGTGTTCTTTTTGAGCAGTTGGTTGTTGTGTTTGGATGTTTTGAAGAGGTTCTGTTGGCAGGGGGGGTTGGTGGTTGGTGTTGTTCAGCTGTAAACTGGAGGGATACCAATGACAAAATTAATCTTCACACTTTTAGAGTCACTGTAATGGAAATGTAAAGAAGTGTTATGTACCTTCCTTTTGCTGAAAATAGTAATTTTCCTAATGCAGTATGTAACTAAATTATTAAAGAAAATGCGTATCAATAAGTCTCTGAACTGCATTTTGCAAAAATTGAATTTGGTAGGGCTCTGCAGTTACTTAGCCTAACACTTTAGCTGTCCATTTTGGTCCTTATGTACTACCAGTTTTACTTCTTACCCTTGAACAATTCTTGTCATTAGGAACACCGTTTTAACAAAACTTGGTTGCGTAAAAGCCGTAAGTAACGTTCATCTGTTTGGGGGAGCAGGGTTTAAGATATATGAAAATAAWTTTTCTAGTTCTAGTATGAAATTTCACAAAAGGAATAGCAGAAATCATAAAAAAGTGATGAGTTTACATAGTAAAACTACATAAAGGTAAAGGTACAATTTGTAAAAAAATTAGTAAATTTGTATCTTTTCTTAAGCATAAAKTCATTGTTCAAATAGAACTAATAGAGCAGTAAGTTCAGAGGAGCAATCTTGAACTGCAAGTATGCATGATTGGTTTTAAAATTRTGTTTGTATACATGGAAGTTCTAAGATATTGAAAGGGCTGAATGAACTGAATTAATGCACCTGAACTGAATTAATGCACCCTGTCTTTGAATTTAAGTTTTGCAACATGTAAGGCACCTAAGGAAACTTGCTATTTTTGTCAGGAATTTGCCACATTGCTACACAGTGCTACATATCTCCATTATAAAAGGTRGTCTGTGTGTGGGTCTGTATGTGGCTATAGCCATAGCCACTAATGAAAAGAGTTGTAAGAATTTAGGCATATTATGAACAGTGATTAGATGTCAGGACATGCCTCCTCAATTAAACCAAGATCAGTAAATTTTTACTGAAGATRTGAAGTTAGATTTTTGTTCAATGTTACATTAGATGATAAGTGTCAAATGTCAAATGTAGATGCAATTAAGAATTTCCATGACAGAGTGGTAAATGACAGTCTATCTATTATCTCTATATTATAACATAAAAATGCAGCCACGTAATGAAGCTGACCTACTGTCTTACCATAATTGCAAACTCTGCTTGTTGCCAACTATGCTCTTTGACTTGAAAAAATAMGAGTCTGTGTGTGTGTCTATGTGTGAAGCAGAATAGTTTTCACTAGTTAGAGAGGAACTGTCTATTCAATCTGGATGTTGATGGAGTGGTAAGACTACTTACAGTCAGTTTAGAACTGAGTGAAAGAACAACTTTCAATCAAAAAGTCACCCACAACAGTATCACAGCCTGGCTGTGTAGTCTTGCTGTAGACATCTCTTTCCCATAAAGGATTACAGACTCAGGCAGTGCCACAACTTCTCAGGACGGTATTTCTACCTTTCATTCCATTCGCCAAAGTGAAAGTAAGTAGAAAACTGTCACAAATAAAAGGTACAGTCAGCATGGATTTTATTGATACAGATGGATGTACTCAATTTTATTTGCTCAGTAAGATGCTTTGTTTAAAGTCAAAACAAAAGGTTTGAATTAAGCCTGGAGGCTCAGAATATTTGAAGAGTACAGTACAGATAGTTTACCTTTGGTTGTTACCTCCTGACTTTCTAAAAAGAATCTACTGCTTTGTTCCACAATAAAATTAGACTAGTTACAGTACAGTTGCAAGCTGTGGCACTTGTTTCTTGAGCTTGAGTATAGGCAGGTTCTGGAAAATTGCATGTCTTGTAATTTGGTCTACAGTTAGCTTCTGCTGTTGGGCACTGATTGGTTTTGCAGGCACATAGAACTTGGAAGGAGACAGTGGCTAGCTTCTTATTCCTTTGTAGATACTGCTACAGTGGTCAAATGTATTTCTAAAGAAAAAAGAAACAGTTTAAGTGTATAATTAGTAATTTCTATTAACTGTATATGCAGTGATAGATTGTAGCTGAAACTAATGYAAGACATACTTGTCCTGTAAGTTTTACCTTGTCTACAATGCCAGTTGTTGGATTTTTCCTGCTCTGCTCAGTAGCGCTTCTGCCAGTACATTCTGCCTTTTTTTTTTCCCTAACCTTTGCTTATTTTTCCTTTACACAGAACAGGAGTCAGACCAGATGCTACTCATTTGAGGTGGGGGCAATTACTATTATGATAACAGAGATGCAGTGTTGAATTTTCAGGGCCCTGCAGTGCTGGTGTTCAAGCCCTTCAGTACCTAACAGAATTGTTAATTTCRTTGGATAATGTATTGGAGCTGAGGCAACCCACAGAAAAACAAAGTGCCATGCTGGCTTATGCAGGACAGTGTCAACAGGCTACAAACACCTATGCTTTAAGACTGCATACTAGAGATTGATATTACTAGATATTTAAGTGAATACATGAATGATTCAAATCTGCCCTCTGATCTGTTAAACAAAGCCATGATATGCCAAAAGAAAAAGAAGCTTAGGTTGAAGTGGTGGCAGTGCAGGAGTGTGAAAGCAATGACTTCACACATCACAAGCTTAACAAAGGCTATACCACAACTTATTTAAAAAAAAAATAGGATAATTTCAAAGAAGACATCTCATATGGTTGTCTCTCATCTCTCGCCTTCACCTTTTCCTATGATCTTAGCCTTCACTGATTATGGGGATTTTTGAGTGCTATTCATAAGTAGTGAATTTTCTGTCTTTCAAATATACACGGCCCGAACAGGAAGAAAGATGCAGTATGAGTGACAAGGATGCACTGCCAAAACAAGGAAGATTACAGACTAGTTAAAGCACTCTTCCATTCAAGATATAACAGAAAGGCCTAAGTTAATAACTGACATTTGAAAGAAATTAGCTGTTGAAGCAGAGGAAATCATTTGACCTAACGTGACCAGAAAGCTTYGAAAAGGTGTTTTTCAGAAGTACAGAGCAAGTCTGTATGGGGACACGAAAATGTTCATTCTTTATAGTCCCATGGTGCCAGCTCTTCTTCCGTTCACATTCAATTTGTTTCCAGGTAGGTATCTTCTTCAAACTTCCTCAGAGCTGTGATAGCAAAGATTGTAATGCTAAAAGAACTTGCACAGATCTAGTAAGTCCAACCTGGAACACTACATTACAGTAAGGAACTGTTAGTTAATTCAAATTCCCTTAGGATACAAGGCATTTTAGAGTGTTGTTCTCATCCATTGCCTAGGTAGGACTTGTATTAGATCCATGAAAACAGTACTTTCTTACWCATGTACCAGAGCCACACAGGCATGAGTTGAAATACTGTTGGGAGAACACCACGTTAACCATTTGAGGCCCACATGTTCAAACTAAAGTTGTTGTTCTACTTCCAGAGTTGGATCATAGGCACGGAAAACATGCAGTTTGATTTCAGGTCTCTCTGTTTCAGTTCCTCTGAGAGTTGCCTTGCATTTCTAAGATCTTGGCCTTCAAATAAGGCTAATACCTATTATAAGTCTCATCTGCCACAACATCCTGAAGCAGCACAGTATCTGAGAAGGTCCTTTTTTGAGCAGAAAAGGTAATTTGAGTAAYTAAAGTTAACTAGTCAAATTATTTCTCTAAACATATGCTGATTTACTAGCTATTAATTAAAACTTGATAGAGTCATTTAGATTGAAAGACCTTYAAGATCAAGTCCAGCTGTTAACCTAGTCCTGAAGTCCACCACTAATCCACGTCCCTAAGTACCATGTCTGCCTTCTAAATACCTTCAGGAATGATGACTCAACTTCAGTTTATACAAGAAGTAGGCATGAAATGAGAGATACCCCTCAATTAGTAGATTCTTCTACTAATAATTTYCCTTTTTATCAGCTGCAGTTGATCTCCCTATATTTTGTTAGCATATTTAAAARGCAGCCGAGGAGGACTTTGGTGAGCAGCTAGATTAGGCCCCTGCCTTCCACAGGATATCTTTCACAGGCAACATTCCACCACCTCTGGACATTCTGATCTAGTGTCATACTATGCTTTATAAAGTTTCAGAGAAAATTACTAACTAGAATTAGTTATTTAAAACAAGTATACAAAGCATGTGCATCTCAAAGTCAATAGAATAAAGTGGGATTATGATTGTGCTGGACATTTTTCATGTTGAATTTGGCTAACTAAATCTGTATAGCCAACATGCTTTAAAATTACACAGGATTCCCACTTCACTTTAGGTGTACTGAAATGAAGAGTTGTTTTCCATTATGTGAGTTTGTTGGTTTTCCTGTAGATATTCAAAGTAAAAGGAGTATAACAATCACAGATAATAATCATCTACAGAACAGGACGTTTCTGGAAGCTTAGTAAGAAGTGAGGCTGCAATCCACCTTGTTTCTTGCTGCTGTGGAGGTAGACTAAAAACTCATTCAACTCACCAATTGCATAGTAGTGAGCATGTGCAAATATGCACTTAAGGATGCATTTGGAGCATTATCAAGCTTGCAGATTTCAGCACCACTCCTGCAGTAATCAGTACTTCTTCTTGAGGTTCCAGCTTCTGCCATCAAAAGGCTTTAATAACTTTCCATTCTTTCTGCTTGCTGGAAAAAAGCTTGATGTAATAAAATGAGCACTGGCTCAGAGAGAAGGGAAATAAATTTTTCATTAGTGAACTACRGTAAAAAAGTATTGTGAGACAATTTCACAAGGTAATTGCTATGTCTCTTCTTCTAATACATAATTTCCAAAATTAATTACTCCAAGAGTATTGGAGAGAAGTCTGTGTGACTTTTAGTTGATAGTGCAGCATATTAGCCTTTTACTTTATGTCAGAAGGGAGGTTTTGAAACAAAATGTTGATTGCTCCTAGTTTTACTGTGCTTTGGTTGACATTATAGAATAATGGGCCATGCTAACTGGCATGGGAACAGAGTCAGCTCCACCCAGCCATGTTCTACTGTCTAAAAACAGTACAGCAGCCCAGACCATAGCAGGGCTGACCAAGACACTGAGTGAGTTTGTGCTGGCCCTGAGGAGAATTCTTGGCCCTGCCCTSAGGCAGAACTTTGAGGGCCAAAGCAGGCTCTAATAGTCCTGGCTAAATACCAAGTATTTGTTCAGTCCTGAGCATGATGGAGGCTCACGTACATGTGGTAGGAAGAACATGGATAGCATTGCATCAACTATCCTTACCCACCCACCCCCAGTTTTTACTGTTTTTAATACGACAGATAGAGCCACGCAACCATTCTTGCAGTTGTCCTAGTTAGGAAGCCCACATCTCATTCCTCCCTTGAATGCTTGGAGAGAATGAAAGTTACATCCAGTAATGGCACTGATTCAGTTACTCACTGTCTTTATCTTCAAAATGGTCGATCCCGAAGAAAAGCAGTCTCTCTCTGAGCATGATAGTCCAATTCTGCTTGCTTTTCCTGCTGTTTTCTTGCCTGTTTTTCAGCCTGATGAAGAAAAGGGAATAACAAGGCTTAGTATTTTTGTCTCAACAGCACTATCCTGTAAAGCTGAGACAGGGTAAAAGCTTACAGAAGATCTGCAGCATTCTTAGTTAATACCTGACACTTGTCATCCCTCCCCAGTTCTCTCCCCTGCCATATTCCCACAGAAACGGTACATTAAATAGCTGAGTGAACATCAGCATTAGCTGCTGCTCTTTGGTGACCTGCCCAGAATATACAAGAGGAGAGCAGTGCATGGTTTAAAAAATGTCGTAAAGGCACAGACTGGATGTGATCTRTCATTGTTGATCCCTTACTGCCAGCCCTCACAGTAATGCTCCCTGACTCACATGGGATAAGTCTAGCTTGAAAGAGGCTTCTGTTATACTACTCTTAGAGGAGGCCATTAAMCTCTGAAACACATTGTCAAGTTTTCAGCAGTAACTCCCTCCCTCCACAAACAAGCCTCTTGTGGCCCATGGGTACAGTCAGTCACCTCTCTCTTCTACCCGAGAGGTCTAGTACTATGGGTTTAGATGTGTGCTTCTTTTTGAAAGGGCTGACAGGATACAGCTCTTCTATTTACCATTTGCTGGATTTGAATTTTCTGTACTTCCATGTTTGCATCACGCTGTCTTTGTTTCTTGGCTTTTTCCATTTCCAGGTAGATGCCCTCTTCTGTCATCTTCTGATTACGATCCTTCTCATCCTCTGCTTTTTCCTGTCTCTCCTTTTCCTCTTTCATCTTTATCTGTAGTTTACAAAACACACAAAGAGGTTAACCAAGGAACTGGTCTGCTAAGCTGGAAGTCATATCTCTCTGCAGAAGCAGCCCTGTATCAGCACTCTGATAAGYGTGATYGTTGTGGTTGGCCGGTGTCCAAGGYCAGGGTTTTCAGCAGCCCAACACAGAAAGGGGAAAGGGAGAGGGGACTCGAGGAAAGGGGTCAGCAGACTTGATGAAGCCTGCTAATGCATGGCACCAGAGTCACCAACTGTGATCTGGGCCAGGCTCCTCAGTCGGAATAAGCAGTGTGGGGTTTGCACAAATTACCAACAATTACAGAGTCTTCTAAGTCTAATTTTTTTTTGAGAGAGGATCACTACATATGCTGCATGCACCTTTCTTAGGACTTAGTTCTAAAACTCCAGATGATAAATGAGAAGCAACGGGTGAGAACCTGCATGTGTCTCCATGACTCCAGATAACTATGCTAGAAACTGGCATTTCCAAGACTATTTGTAGATACAAGTATATGACAGAAAGAAGAGTAAGAAGAGCCCATATTTCTTACCACAGTGGCTCTGTGTTCTTCAATAGATTCAATGGCAGCCTTTTTTTTAATTTCTTTCTCTTTGKTTTTCATTTGGTATTCGACTTCTACCTCTGCAGCTCCTCTAGCAAGACGATCATCTTCAATCTTAAATGCTTCATTCATCTGTGCAGTTAATTGTTCAAAAGCTTTGTCCTTATGCTTCTGTATCATCCTGCAGGAGAACATGAGCTATTGTAACATACCAGGACATCTGTTCAGATTACCAGAGACAACTGGTAACTGTTGCTTCTAACAATACCAGTAATCCTACCTCYAACCCCCACAGCACCAATTACTACTGAAACTAGTAGCCATTTTTCTGCACTTTCTATTTCAAGTTTTAATTACTTAATTAAGGAAACTTGCTTGCATCAAAGTTCTGATTTTGCTGATATAACAATGAGAATAATGTTTGTCACAAAATTAAATTGCAAGTTTGAATCTTAACAGTGAAAATTATCCCTGGACCCACCTGTTARTCTCTGCATATTTTTCTCTTGTCAGATCAGCCATCATTTCTTTTTCTTTAATATAAGCTTTAATCCGATCATTGTCTTTGTCTTCTTTTTGCTTCTCTTCAGCTTTAATTATTTTCTGTTCAGCTACATATTCCTGTTCAAATGGAAAACTACTTTTATTTTCATGTAGAACATGATTTTGGAAACATGAACTAAAAAAAAATCCTAGCAAATACTTCAGGCCTAGCCTATAATAAGTTCTTTATTTCAGTGGAAAAGCTTTAGAAGATAGAAACCCAGAAATAAAAGAGAATTTCATGATCTATTTATCGCAAATTACAACAAAAGTAAATTTAGTTTGTGGTTGCAGCTCCAGGCACAGTATCTTTATATTCTCTCCTGCACCTTCCCAGTGGCTCCAGCTGTACTGCTCCCATCCCATACATCATTCATATGGTGGAGAGTCTGAAGGGCTCAAACTTTAAGTCTGTAGAACCATTGAAATTTAAAGCATAAGGCATTTTGTAATGACTCAGAAATGGCATTTGTATAGCCTGGCAGTAGGTATTGCTTCTATCACATATACAAGGTTGGGGGAAAATCTGTATAATTGGGATGAGGAGTATGGGAGGATAAAAAAAAGGAGTAGGGTTTTAGTAGGAATTCTCTCCTTTTATTCCCTCACATGGCAATGAATCATTACAGTATCTCTACTTCAGTGTCCCTGCTCAAGTAGGCACTGGCAGGGAAACAGTACGTGTGGTAAGTTGGTCATCACCAAGTTTAAAAGATATTGTCATACTCAGGCTATTCCCTCTCCGTAACAAAGAAAAATGGAGTTAAAACAGAGCAAGTACATGGAACCTAAATCCAGTTCTCATGTCAAGGACAATCTCCTTATTGACTCTAGCAGACTTTGTCCACTGTAGACCAGTCAAAGCTCAGGTGCCACATTATAACTCAAAATCACAGAGGAAAGATATGGCCTGTAACTGGCAGGGTAGGCACTGATCCCATGCTACTAAAGCTCTCAGCAAAGCCCCCACTGCTTGCATGCTCCTTTATTTGTGGTCTGAGTCCAACCATCACAGCCTAGGTGAAATATGTATACATTTTGAGCTGTCTGCTTTCCTGCTACTTACATGATGCAGCTTCTGGCATTCAGCTTTTTTCTCCTGTTCCTTTTCTTTTTCTCTCTGAATTTCTAGTTGGTGCAATTGGCTCGATCTCTGTATTCGTTCCCCTTCTCTTTTGTTTTCTTGTTTGGCCAGATCTGCCTGATCCTTGTGCTCTTTTATTCTGAATCAGAAAAGGGAAATGAACAAATGAGCTAGGGACAGCATGAAGTAAAAATGAACAGATACAGATTATGCATATCTACGGGTACTTTAACAGTAAAAAACCCTGATACTTTGACGTGAAAGTAAAATATCAGAGATCAAAACCAGAATCAGTTTCTATAAGCTAGCTCCAAATTCTTTGGCCAAAGCTCAGTTCTAGTCCGAGGGTGCTARGGAAGTCTGTATTAGCAAAAGCAAAATCCAGTGTATGGACTCAAATAATTAGACTGATTAGCCTGTTTAATTGTTATCCCACTCCCTGTACAACCTGGACCTTTGTTAGCTAGCAGCCTTTTAAGCAGCACTGTTCACGACATGGCCATGATGCCCCTGACAACAAGAGACGTTTCTGAAGCTGAAGAACAGAATTATGGAGGAACCACAGGGTAAAGAAAGGTGACAGGGTTTTAATCTGCCCACGAGGTTCAAAAGCAGCGAGCCCCACAGCCCGCGCACGGCAGGCGGGTTAGYGCCAAAGAGCCGCCCGTTCCCGCGGGCCGTGTAGCCGGGTCCCGCCCGGGCCGGGCTGCCCACGGAAAGGTTTTTAAACCCTCTCGCCCCAGTCCCAGGTCCCGCCACCCGACTCACTGCGCCAGCTGCTCCTGGGCCACGGCCCGGCGGCTCAAGTAGCGGCCACGCTCCAGCTCTGCGTCCTGGCGGGCGGCGTCCGGCCCATCGCGGTCCATCTTCGGCCTTTCTTCGCTGCCTCTCCGGAGACGGAACGTCTGCTGAGGGAGAAGGAGGGATCCTCACCGACGGCCCGGCAGTCCCGGGAAATCGGGCTCTTTCTCCCGCCGCGCTCAAAGGGATACCCACGGCGAGCAGTGACCGGCGGAGCGCCGAGGCGGGAACGGCACGGCCGCGGGGGAGTGGCGGATGGCGGGCGCTGTGTGGCAGCGCTGGAGCGGCACCGCGCCCCGCCCCGCCCCGCCCCGGAGGCGGACCGGCCTCCCTGTCACACACGGAGGGAAGGAAGGAAGGAAGCGCCCCCGACCCGGAGGCGGACCCTCTGCAGCCCGTTCGTGAACCTCGCGGCGAGTCTGTACCCGGTAAGGGGCTGAAGTACCCTCTCCGCCTCGGTCCTCCTGCTTCCGCCGGTTCCCCGGGGCCGTGGCCATTGGGATCGGCCTGGCTCCGTGCGCTGCCGCGCCTCACACGAGCCTTCGTCCCGCCAGGCCTACCTGTGCCTGGGGCCCAGAGCCCTGGGCAGCCCTGGGAGCTGGATCAGGAGGTCGGGCCTCCCTCTCCTTCCAGAAACTCATCCCTTGCCTTGCCTGGAAGTGAGTCCTCGAAGAGGAAGCACAGCACCCACCTTACACCCAGCGTTTTTATGTTTAGGGGTGGTAAAGCCAGTTCTGCATGGCCCTCAGCTTGCTAGAGGCACCGTGCCTCCAGGGTAGCCTCACACCGTCCTCGAAGTCCTGTGCTTTCTCCAAGGCCTGTTGCATTCAGTAGCTAGGCTGAGAAACTCGAGGACACACCAAACACCCACTTTCAAAACTAAAATATTGGCAAGCATTTTTTTCTTTTAAAGACTTGTATTGTTTTCTAGTCTGGCCACCAGAGACTGGCAGCTGTGGGATGCAGCAAAGCAAAGCTTCAGGTTTCTTGGACTTTTTTCCCAGTGGACACTAGATAGAGGTATACCCAGTTTAAAGCCCAGGGTACTGGTGGAGGAAGTCATTACAGGAATCCCTAACTGTCCAAGGCAAGGATATGATGTTAATATTTCAGCAAAGAAAACTTAAGGAGGGACATGTCTATGGCTTGAGTGTTGGTGAGTAAATCTGCTGACGAATCTGAGATACAATTTTACTTCACATCTTTACCACAGACTGAATTGCTGTTAGTCTTTTTGAAAGAACAGCTCAACTATGTTGTGTCCTGTTGATCTGCTAATTTTGTAGGCCCTATTTACATCTATATTGGGACATATTTGCCTCTGTGGTGACCTTTTAAGGTGTGTGGTCAAATCACATTAACATTTTCATGTGACAAAACTGATTTATAGCATGACATTTGTTTTTCAGACATAGTTGCAAAATGCTACCAAAACTGCATACCCTAACAATTCTAACTTTCACCTATTTATTTTCTTCCCCTGTAGTTGTTTTGGTTTGGCCTTTTCTGTTACGGAGAATAATTAACTGGAAGTAGGCTAGTGAAAAAATATGACTTTTTGCACTGGGATTCACATCGCAGACCTGAAAAACCTGGGACAGTGAATTTTTAGAACTACAAATATTAAAAATATAAAAGAAATAGTGAGCTTTTGGCTGGAACATGTTACAGTGACAGCCAATTATACAGCATGAATTCCTGTCTAAAGTTTAATAAACTAACATTGATGAAATACAAGCTGGAGATTTTTGAGAATAACTAGTTACATGGCAACCTTTTACTTTTTTAAATGGACGTCTAGATTCATACTATATATTTGATATAAATTGTTTCCAGTTTAACTCTGCCTGTAAAGTTCAAAAGCATATTTTTAAGCTGAAAACGTCTTCTGTCTTTCCTTGGTGGATAGTTTAAACATTATTTCATGGTTTTGATTCTTGAGCAGCATTACAGCTATGACAAGGTAACTGGGTCTCAACATAGAATTATATGTTTGGAAACTAGCATTAATTTTTTCTTTTCTCAGAAAAATGGCCCATTTCCAAGTACTCTTGCATCTTTGCATAATTTGAGAAGAGGATAAAGATGATGTGAAGTCTTGGACTTCGATTCAATTACTTGCTTCGCATATTTCTGAAATTCATGCTCTTTAGAAAGTGCGAGAGCATTTCTCTGAGCATGATAGTCCAATTCTGCTTGCTTTTCCTGCTGTCTTCTTGCCTGGTTTTCAGCCTGATGAAGAAAAGGGAATAACAAGGCTTAGTATTTTGTTCTCAACATCAGTGTCCTGTAAAGCTGAGACAGGGTAAAAGCTTACAGAAGATCTGCAGCATTCTTAGTTAATACTTGACCCTTGCCATCCCTCCCCAGTTCTCGCCCCTGCCATATCCCCCCAGAAATGGTACATTAAATAGCTGAGTGAACATCAGCATTAGCTGCTGCTCTTTGGTGACTTGCCCAAAAGATACAGGAGACTAGCAGTAGAACATAATAGCACAGAACAGGATGGGATCTGTCCTTGCAAACCAGCCCTGATTTGCACCAATGCTCTGAGGAGGCAGGTCCCGAACACCAGCATGTGCTGACCACACGATTAAAAACAACCCAACAAACACAAATAAYCCAAACGAAACAGAAAACTTTCTCTCTTTCTCTCAGCAGCAGCTAATGCTATTGGTTTAGATTCATGCTTCTTTCTGAAGGGATTGACAGGGCACAGCTCTTCTATTTACCATTTGCTGGATCAGACTTTTCCGTATTTCTATATTTGCCTCACGATGTCCTAGTTTTTTGAGGTTTTCCATTTCCAGGTACTTGCGGTCAATTTCTATTGACCTATCACGTTCTTTTTCAGCCTCTGCTTTTTCCTGTCTCTCCTTTTCCTCTTTCATCTTTATCTGTAGTTTACAAAACACACGAAGAGGTTAACCAAGGAGCTGGCCTGCTAAGCTGGAAGTCATATCTCTCTGCAGAAGCAGCCCTGTATCAGCACTCTGATAAGCGTGATYGTTGTGGYTGGCCGGTGTCCAAGGTCAGGGTTTTCAGCAGCCCARCACAGAAAGGGGAAAGGGAGAGGGGACTCGAGGAAAGGGGTCAGCAGACTTGATGAAGCCTGCTAATGCATGGCACCAGAGCCACCARCTGTGATCTGGGCCAGGCTCCTTGGCTGGAATAAGCAGAAGATCAGCCCACGTTTCTTACCACAGTGGCTCTGTATTCAGCAATAGATTCAAGGGCAGCCTTTTGTTTTGCTTCTCTCTCCTCACGTTTTTTTTCTTCTTCAGCTTCTATTCTTGCAACATCTCTAGCCAGCCGCTCACCTTCCATCCTCATTGCCTTACCCATTTTTTCAGCTAATTCACTAATGACTTTATCCCGCCGTTCCTGTATTAGCCTGCAGAAGAACATGAGAATCCTTAACGTACCAGGGCAACACACCTGGGTCTGCCTGAAGCTACCAAACTCAGTAATCCTGGTTCTGGACTTCTTTTGCCACACAGGCTGGTGCACCCACCCAACTCATGRTCTTCTTCTGTTCCACAGATTTAGCAAATAAATGTTCTCTGTATACATGTAGCATTGCTTTCTATCGCAATAATGAGCTGGATCACTCAGTAAGAACTCCGTCTGGCATCTTACCATCGGAGAGGAATGTTGGAAGTACTGGCCAGAAGCAGGAAGGGGAGGAAATTCTTAGATTGACTCAACGGTATCATCACGTTGTACCCTTAATGTTAAATTGATAAAATATCTCTCCTTAATAAGAACATGATGTAATTAATGTATGTGCCTTGTTAAGAAGTCAAATCATTTTTCTTGATCTGACTCAGAGAAATACAGCTTATACTCAAAAATATTTTCATCGAGGATCTTAACTGTCTTTAATTGWTGAGGAGTTGAAGGCTTGGCAAGCCATATGGAAAATTACTCTCCCCAATACACTGGTGCAAAGCTTTGCACTTTTGTAAGCCTTGGTACTTTGAAGGGTGGAGAGATTGCTCTCTCACACACCTATTACTAAGGAATCTGTGAAAGAATTTMTTTTTTGTCCTAATTCCTGCTCTTCCTATCAGTACAATTTAGCATAACTTTTTAGAATAACTGTTGATTGTGTTATATCATTAGTCTGAATGGTCTGAAAACAACTACAATRTAATTTTTAGATTGTTTACAATTTATTCCCTAGCATTGTACCTACCTACGCATTTCAGCTTCCCTCTTCTTTGTCATCTGGGCAATAATTTCCTTTGCTTTAAAATGAGCTTTGATCCGATCATCTTCTTCCATTTGTTTTTGTTTCTCTATTGCTTTGATTATTTTCTGGTCATTTAGATACTCCTGTATGGGCAAAATGGTCCTGATGTAACAGATGACATTTAGATTATCTGGACCTGGGGTCACAACTTACAAGAATCACTCCCTATTCTCTCTCCTCAAGTTTCTTTCAAAAACAGAAGAGAGGATAGGGATTCTCAGGAAAGGAGACAGAAGACGGGAAATGGATACTTCCACTTACTTCCGCCTCCCTATTCAAACATGCAGGAATTGAGCATCAAAGAGCTGCTTCTCTGGTCCATTGCACAAACTGCTGTGCGATACCGAGAGCATTATCCCATGCTCCCACTGACACACATGGGCAAGGGGGACAGTGAGTGGCAGGGGACTGTCCAACCACCACCCACACACACACAGATCTTTCTGCTCCTTGCCCTACCTCATCCAAAACTATCCCAGTCTAAAAGCTTAATGCAAAACACAGCTGAAGAGGAGTTTTCTATATTTTTATGTAAGAAAGTAACTGTCTTTTACATGCTGGCCAGAACTGTTCTGAGTCACTTCTAGTTTTTCCTGAGCAGGATGCCTTTAAAGATGAAATGAGATGGCAGCAGGTCTTGACGAAATTTCTAAACCTCTCCTAATTTCTAAATCATAAAGTCAAGTTAAAAAGATACGTTCAGTCTCTGTCTCTTCCCTCTTTSTAATAAAGAAAAATGGGCTAAAACCAGCAGGAATGTGAAACTTAAATCCAGTTCTCAAGTCAAGGAGATATTCCTTGTTGTTTACAGCTGAATCTTTAACCATAGACCAGTCAAAGCATCAAGTGCCCACGTCCCTTCAGACAACAGAAGGGAGTGGCCACTAAGAGGTCTTTCTCAAAAGTACAGAGGCCTGCAACTGGCAGAATAGGCATTTGATCCCATGCAGCTAAAGCTGTGAGCAAAGCCCCTGTTGCCAGTAGGCCCCTTTATTTGTGGGCTGAGTCCACCCATCACAGCTAAGRTGAAATAGTMATTTTGAGCTRTCTGCTTTCCTGCTACTTACGTGATACAGCTTCCGACGTCCAGCTTTTTGTTCCTCTTTCTTTTCTTTTTCTCTCTGAATTTCTAGGTGGTGCAGTTGGATYAATTTCTCTAATTTTTCCTGTTCTTTTTTGTTTTCTTGTTTGACCAGATCTGCCCGTTGCTCACGCTCTTTTATTCTGAATTGGAAAAAGGTGAATAAATGGTCTAGGAACTGCATGAAGTAATGAACAGATAGATATTCTTGCATAACCATAGGTATCTTGCAGTGAAGAATTTGATAGTTTGCATTGAAGGTAGGTAGAATATCAGAGGTGAAAAACAGCATGATTGTTTGTAATGGTAGCCCTGACCAGAAATGAGCTATATGGTATGCTCAGTTTGCAGTCTCACGGTGACAAGTTTTAGGTGGATGACTCATTAGCACTGCTGCATTGGTAATGCTTAGGCATATATCTGCAGCACTGTGGAGAACAAGATTTCCCCTGTATGATCCACCATACCTGTRTTTTCTCTGGGCATGCAGGCAGCAGCTTAAGCTGGTAGTGTTCTGTACTAAGTTGTACGAGGATTTATTTGATTTACTTTTGATTCCTTCTATTGGACCACCAGGGCCAGTCCTATAAATACCACTGGGGACCTCTCCATAAGATTTACGGAAGATCTGAGAGGAGAAGTGAGACTAATGCCTTTTCTTGATGTGCAGTCTGGAAGTAGCATTTATGAATCAAATTATTCGTAAGTTTCTGTAAAACCTTCACAGAAAGTATTTTGAGAAGAGTTTGAGTAAATAATGAAGTAGGGTTGCTTTTAATTATTACTTACTGTTCTAGCTGATCTTTGTGTAAYGCCCGTTGATTCATATAATGCTGACGTACTTTCTCTTGCTCACTGAGAATGTATTCTTTAAATAGACGTTGCTCTTCTTCATATTCCTTCTTTTTGCTATCAATTAATTTTGACTTTTGAAATTCAATTTGAGCATCTCTTTCTTTTAGGACCTCAGCAAGTAGAAGTGCACTCTGCAAGAGAATATTTGAAGTAATTTTCATGTTCAGAAGTCTTGAAAGACATTCAGTACAATTTCACTTTTAAAATATAAATTGTCAACAAACATGGAAGTGTCTCATTCTGTCATCTTGATAACCTAGGTAGGTTTTTGCACGCTCGATAGCCTCCTTCCGTTTTGCTGCTTGGAACTGTGCTTCTTCCAAATCAATTAACTTTCTTTCTTCCTCTTCCTTTTCTTCACGTAATTTTTTGGCTTGAAGTTTCTGTTGTATCAGCTCCTACAGTGCAGACAAAATTATAAATCACATTTAAATTTTGGATGGGTATTTTATTTTGAATTTTAGCTTTAAATAAAAAAAATAATGTTCATGTTAGCTTTTAAATGTATTTAAACAGAATTTAGTTAAAATACATATTCAAAAACAAATGTTAAACAAAGGGAGTACAGCTAGAAATGTTACTGTGATTGTTTTTATATATATAAAAGTGACTACCCTTGTTTACAAATGTATCTTATACTTACTAGAGTGGCATTGGGCTGGTCTTCTCTAGCAGCTTTGTGCACTTCCTGTTCTTTCTTATCAATGTGTGCTGCTTCTCTGGTGCTGGCCTGAATCCTTTCCCATTCTGCTTTTGAAAATACAATTACCTGACGAAGGTCTGTTTCATTTGGAAGGAAATATCCATCTAGAACATTTTTTTCTTTCAAATGATGTGCTGTGCAGAGGGAAGAAAAAATACAAAGGTTGCTTGATATCAGAAAATCCAATAATCAAAGGTGTATCAGGAWTGGAATTCTCACATGGTAACAATAYGAAATTATCCTTAGTATCAGTTAGTCCCCTATCCTCAAACCCCAGAGCTAAGACAGGGTATCTGTATTTGTAGTCTGCCTATGAGCAGTGAATGCACTTGGGCAGTGGTGGTGATTGACTGGTGTGTCTGTATATCCCCTTGCCTGTTTCTGTGTATGTGCGTGTTTGGTTTGTAGTCATTCACTTCCCAGACAGTACTTGGGGATGATTCTTGAAACAGCCRGGACCATTCCCAAAATGAAAGGGAGAATATTGATAAAGCCATTCCACTGGCTGGATGAGGCTGCAATTCGAGCACAAAGACTGTGCCTTACYGTCCTTGTCCTGCATACTCATCCTGTTTACTGAGATCTGTTGTAGAACAGTTTCTTGATTTGTTGGCAAGACTAGCATTTCTTTCTTGCATTAGGCTTCCATACGCATGTGCATGCATAAATGCATCTTTTCTAGGTTTTGTGAAATGCTCTTTCAAATGTAACCGCCATTTTTGAAGGGAATGCCACTCTACAGAGTGGTGTCCTGTATAAATTRTGTGATTTGCAGCAGGCTGACACGCCGTGTCTGAAAGGTAAGGAGGATTTCTCTTAGAGTGACACCGTTGTCAAAGTCTGTTTTCCAGATGCCGTTGCTGACAGGGACCAAACCTGATCTCTCCCTTTGCCCTAGGTGAAGACAGCCTTGCCTTTACAGAAGTAAAGGCGCACTGATGTGGCAGCGCCCTGCAAGCACCTCGGTTCCCCGCAGCTGTGCCCTTGGAGGTTACGGGGCCTGCGCTGCGTTCAGGTCAGTTCTCTCCGCTCAGTTCCTGGRGAGAAACAGCCCCTCTTGCTGTCTGCAGCTGGGGGAGCTTTGGGGAGAGTCAGGCTGGGCACCTCTACAGCCTCCCGGAGCCGTGCGGCCGCGGGGTCGGCACTGCCCTCCCGCCGGGTCCCGTTGCCCGCGGGGCAGCCGCACTCACGGGCGCCGCGCCGCCGCCGTCCCGCCGCCGCCATCTTCCCGGGCCGCGGGGCCGTTGCCGGGCGACCCGATGGCGCGCGGTCGTGTGAGGGCGCGGGGGCGGCCCCGGGTCCCGCCGTTCCCCTGACGGGCCCTGGGCGCGGGGCGAGCCCGTGAGSGGCGGCAGATTCAGCTTCGCAAACGGCTACATTGCATTTCCTTGGCTACGTTCATTTAGTGCGGCCTCGTTGAAGGCACGGGCTCCATCTGTTCGGCGGACGTTTCCTCTTGAAATACCTGTCCAGGCTTTTTGCCAGGAGAATCCCAGTTTCGTTGCACTGGCAAATAATGATGGAGAAATGTAGTATCYGCTCAAACTGATGGTGCGTGAGTACAGGAGCATTGGCACTGTGCTAGCAAGTATTAAAGTGCAAAAGGAACTCAGATGCTGTCACAGGTAACTATTTTAAACAGAAGAGGGACACTGAACTTTGGCCTTTACAGACTGCATGTTAGCTGCAGCACAGCTTCCCATCGCGGTAGTGGCCATAAATAGTTTGCTTTGTTTGGATGTTTTCTTCCAGAATTTTTCTCTTCTGAGCACAAGGTCAGGGGTAGGAATATAGTRCTTGTGTTTATATAAATAATTTTCCTTTTTGTTTGTTTTGGAAACTATTTTCTCACAGCTATGAAATTTCTGTTGGTTTTTGATTTTGACCATACAATCATAGATGAAAACAGTGACACCTGGATTGTGAGATGTGCTCCTGAGAGAAAACTTCCTAATGGATTAAGAAGCTCCTACCAACCGGGACATTGGACAGAATATATGGGCAGAGTCTTTGTCTATTTGGGAGATAATGGTGTCAAAGAAGATGAGATGAAAAGAACTATGACAACAATTCCTTTCACTGCAGGAATGATAGATCTTCTGGGATTTATTGGCGAGAACAAAGAGTTGTTTGATTGCATAATCGTTTCAGATTCTAATACAGTATTTATTGACTGGATTTTGAAAGCTGCTGACTTCCATAAAGTATTTGATGAAGTGTTTACAAACCCTGCAGCATTCAGCAGTACTGGCTATCTTACTGTACAGCATTTCCATGCTCACCATTGTGCAAARTGCCCTAAAAACCTTTGCAAAAGGCAAGTTTTAAAAGAATTTTTAGACAAACAGTTGGAGCGAGGAGTAAGTTATACACAAATTGTATATATAGGTGATGGTGGGAATGACTTATGTCCAGTAATGTTTTTGAAGAAGAATGACATTGCTATGCCCAGGCAGGGGTATACCTTGGAGAAAAAGATTTCTCAACTGGCCCAAAGTCTCACTCCTGTACAGTGTTCTGTTCTGGTTTGGTCATCTGCGATTGACATTTTGTCTTACCTGAAACTACTTATAAAGGAATGAGTAAAATGATAAAAGGAAATGAATGCAGTTACATTTTAATTTCCTGGGAGAGAAACATTGCATGTGTTTAAAAGCTCAAGATTGTAAAACTGGGCTATTACCTGAAATTRCATTTTTTAAAACACAACATAAATCTGTCATGTTCAATCTTGGTAATGAAGGGAAAGTGAAGTAAAGAAGACCTTCTAACATAGTACAGATTCCAAAATAAGTGGACTTGGAAAAGGACTTGTYATTATTTTTAGTCTCCAGCCCTTTACCAACCATATAACTGACCTTTGTACTCCTACACACTTAGAGCAAGGAGGAAATTCCTTACTTAGGAAACACTGGGTGCCAGGAGCATGGTTCTAGAGTTGTTGGCTTTTATACTTCTTTGATGGCAAATTATTTGCTTGTAATCTTGTTTAATCTGAATTAAACTTGTTTAATCCGATTGAAATTTATATTTTGAATCTACTAAATATTTTACCAAACAAAATAACTTTTTTTATAGTTTGTATTATCTTGTAAAGACAATAAAATTTGCTGTCATTGACAAATGCAACACAACTAATTTGTGTCATGTATTCTGCTGGCCTGTGTGTCATCAGGCACCTGTTCTTGTAAGGGCCTGGAGAGAGCWGACACAGGTTTAGGTGTCAGCCTTTGGCCAGTCAGACCTTTTCTCTTCTGGAAACCTGTGAGGATGTTGCTCCTTTGTTTAAAGAAAAGTCTCTCTCCCATTCTGACTACTTCCCTGACAGCGTGCTGCTGCCACTCTGTASAGAGCTAACAATGGTTTGATCTTCCATGCTGACAGCTCTGAGTCAGCCAGATGACTTTTTCTTCCTTGGTTTCTGCTGCAGTGCACAGGCCACAGAATGGTACCTATATATACTTGTTTACACTGATTTTACCTATTGATTCTCATCTATATCTATAATACAATCTCGTATAAGCTGGAAGGGAAGATCTATGTTCATTTTAACTTATAAACAGAATTGTTCTGTCTTTAAGTAGTATTAAGGAATCATTTGTGAACATGCGGCCTTTATCAGTGACAGTGAGATGAGCCCCAAGTGTTGGACTGTGCATACAAAGGTATTAAAAATAAGCCTCATTAAAGTTAAATAATGGGTTTTCATGTCAAACGTTTTYGTTCTTATATCTCACAAAAGGTTCAAAATGATTGTGTAGTCTGCTATTAGACTGAGGTCACTTTTAGCTTAAGTGCTCTAATACCTGAGAGATTAGTCCAACTTTCACAGCACCTCAGTTGCAGATGTCTAAGATGTAGCTCAGCAGCCTGCAGTTGCCATTTCTATCTTCTTTTGTTTCCTGTGCAACACTGTTCTCCTTTTCTTATGAACATTTGATGATACCACTACCTTTTTTTTCCTTAATTGAAGATTTTTAAGTGGTCTTGCCTGTTTTCAGTCTGATAGTATATATAAATTACCTCTTTGTACTTCCTTGTCTCACCTATTTTACTGTCGTGTAGAAGGTTGAAATCTGTTGCCTAAGATGTCCAAAATAATATATTTGAGTTCTCAGGGGCCTTGTTTTAGTGATGGATACTTGACTGGTGACTGAGATATKCATATTCAGGATCTTGCCCTATTGTTTTGTGCAAGGGCACGAAGACATCTAAGGACTGGTGTGTTTCAGGTTGTGGCAGGTTTAAGTTATCTGGTCATAAAAAGGAATGGTAATGGTTGTTGCATAGGGTAATTTCATTTTACTTTGGGSTTTTAAGTTGTTGCYRTTGTTTAACCCCAGCTGGYAACTGAGCTGCTTGCTCACTCCATCCCTCTGCTCAGTGGGGAGGAGAATTTGGAAAAAAATTCAACCTCGCAGGTTCAGATGAGAACAGTTTWATAATTGAAACAAAATAAAATACAGTAGTACTAAATTATTATAATAATTTTAATGAAAAGGAGAGAGGAAGGAATGATGTCCAGGAGAAACAAGTGYTGTGCAATACAGCGCTCACCACTCACTGATCATGCCCAGCCCATCCCCAAGCAGTGATCAGCCCCTCCCWTTCAACTCCCCCCAGCTTCTGTACTGACTGTGACCCCCTGTGCTATGGAAWATCCCTTTRCACAGTCSGGGYCAGCTGTCCTGGCCATGCTCCCCCCAGCTCCTTGTACAGGCCCTCAATGACCRAGCACAGGAAACTGAAAAGTCCTTGACTGTGTGTAAGCACCACTTAGCAACAACCAAAACAACAGTGTGATGTCAACATGATTCCCATAGTAAATCCTAAATACAGCAYTGAACCAGCTACTAAGAAGGAAATTAACTCTATCCAAGCTGAAATCCAGGCAGTTGTATGTTTCCTTAATTCTAGTGCTGCTGAATGTTCCAGATTCTGTGCTGGTCAGTTTTGTGTTTTTCAGAACTTAATTACAGAATAGCTTTCTATCAGTTTGTCCACAGATCTCAATTACTGCTTACTTAAAAACAAAGAAAATGTAGTATATTAATGATTACTCAGCTTTTTCTTCCCCTTACACTATTGGTTTTTTTAGCCTTAAGGGACCTATCTTGTAGTTTGCTRTAGGAGTGAGAAATGGGGTGAGAAATTGTTCTTCATGCTTAAAAAGGAGGTTTTTTGTGGTTTTGATGAAAGTGCTGAAGCAGCAGTTGAGAATAGATTAAGCAGACTACTTGAAATGTTAGCAATTATATTSTAATCAGTTCAAATAGAGGGTAGATCTGATGATATTTGCTAGACAAAGTATATGTTGGAGACAGAAGAAATTTTTCAATTCCAGTAGGCAGACCATTGAGGTATTAATCARGTCTTGTTTGGGKTTTTTTCCCCTCTTAGTAAAAGAARAGAGAGGACTTTTCTGAAGCACCACAATTACCAAAATTTTCCATGTTTGGTTACAGTGGAGAAGAGATGAGTATCTCCAAATGAGTGAAGCTGGTTTAAGGTGGTAACCCAACCTAGAAATGGAGAAGCTCCTTGAAGGAGACACTTGTAAAGTACTAAGYGTTGCTGACCTCCTGACTTGTTTTCTGGGAGGGAGATGACTTAGGTAAAAATGTTATGGAAAAAAAAGCATAACAAAAGGCAGGTATGTAATTATGTATGGTAACAGGTCTGCTATTGTACACCACTKCTATGAGAGTACTTAGCCTTAATATTGAGTGCCAGTAGGATAATCAAGGCTTGGAAGAAGTTCTTGCTTGTCAATAGGAAGCTGATGAAATGCAAAATGCAACCAAAACAAAGCTGTTGGCATGGGCTTGTGTGAAGACTTAGGGCTGTACAAAGCAATTTTCTAGAGAAAGAAATGGAGTAATGTAGCTGAGGGACAGGCCCATGTCAGCAGGGCTGTTCTAATTCCTGGATTAAACTACTAAACTCCAATTCTCAGGGGTAACAATGCATCAAGAGGGGTGATGTGTGAAGGTGTGGGGAACTTTTGATTTTGTGGGGTTTTTTTTTTTGTCAGTTTGAATCACTTTATTTTTGTCTCRTGTTACTATGCGAAGGCCAAGAGCCAGTTTGAATCCTGTTGCATGGTTAGCATGGGAGGAAGGATGGCAGAGGGGTATGACCATATACTTCTCCTGTTTGGATTTCCTTAGTTCATACTTCTGCTGGGCATTGTGGTAGAAGTACCACAATGTAATGAAAAGAAAAATATGCTTTTTCATCTGTGTCAAGTAGAAACTTTTAAAATTTCTCCTTTTGGGTACAGCTGGCACTTAGCTAATAGTAATATTCACCTCCTTTTGGTATAAGAAATTGCTGGCAGTTCTTTCAATCTAGGAAAGCTCTGGCAGGACAGGGAGAGCCTGGCTACTGGATCCAAAGGATCCAAACCCTGCTGCAGATGAAGGAGAGCCCAGAGTTGCTTGAACCCAGAGGATGCTGTGTTTCAAATAAAGCAAATGTGTTGCTAGCAGAGAAGAAAATTACTTCTTAAATTGTGAATCACATTTTCAGAAATTTTAAAAGCCACTATAACATTCTTCCTAAAAATTTATTTATAGCTGTAATCTGTTTGTCGACATAATTTGTGACTGTCCTTTGCACCCTGCCGGGTTCAGCTTGGTGAGAGCTCTGGCTGCTCCCTTTCGACTCCTGCCCTCCGGTAACGGGGGACCCCTTAGATCTTGCAGCTCTTCCCAGTATCGCTCCTCCGAGCCCCTGGGAGCGCGGGGCTCCTCTGYGAGAGGCGCCTTCAGATCGCTGACAGCGGCAGCCGAGGCCCCTCGCTTTGTTGTGCGGCTGAGTGACACCGAGCTGGTGACGCTCCCCAGGCATCTGCTTCTGTCCCTAATACGGCCGGGCCTTCTGTCACCACCGCAGACAGCCTTTAACCCGTGCCCCGGGGTGGGAGCGCTCGGGCGGCGGCGGCAGCGGTTCGGGCCGGACCTTCCGAGGCGAGCGGGCGCGTGGGGGCCGGGCTGGGCGAGGAGGAGTGCGCGGGGGGGTCGCAGGGGCACCAAAATAGGAGCTGTCGCCGCGGCCCCGCTGCTCCCTCCGGCAGAGTCTCTTCCAAAGACGGTCACGGGCCGCCGTGGGCTGTGAGCCCCCCTGGCCGCGGCTACGTTCCGCACGGGAGTAAGCGCCGCGCCGGGCGGGTCCGCAGCCGGAGRGCGGCCGGGCTGCGCGGAGCGGCGYGGACAAAGCGGCGGCAGCTGCGGGGCGCGGCGATGGCCGGAGCCGGGCAGGACGAGTACGCGTTTCTCTACAAGGACTCTGCGCACCCCGCCGGCTTCTTGGAGGCGTTCCGGGCGTTTTACCTGGATGGGCTGTTCACGGACATCACCCTGCAGTGCGCTTCGGGGGTCATCTTCCACTGCCACAGAGCTGCCCTGGCAGCCTGCAGCAGTTATTTTAAAGCCATGTTCACAGCCGATATGAGAGAAAAATCMAAAAAACAGATCAGCCTTCCCGACCTCAGCCATGCAGTACTGGAAGCCCTCGTGAATTACGCATACACATCACAGATACAGATAACAAAGAGAAATGTCCAAAGCCTACTCCAGGCTGCAGACCTGCTCCAGTTCGTGTCAGTAAAGAAAGCCTGTGAGCAGTTTCTGGTAAGGCACTTAGACACTGACAACTGCATTGGGATGCACTCCTTTGCTGAATATCATGATTGCTCGGAGCTAGAGAAAGAGTCCAGAAGGATATTGTTATGGCAGTTTGAAGAAGTGTGGAAGCAGGAAGAGTTTCTGGACATTGGCAAAGAGAAGCTCTCTTATATTCTCTCCAGAGAGAATCTCAATGTTCAGAAAGAAGAGGCAGCCATTGAAGCTGTCATTAAATGGGTTGCACACAACGTCGAAGGAAGAATTGAAGACATCTGTGAAGTGCTGAGCTGCATCAAAGTAGACCTAGATAACGTGTATTTGAGGTCAGCTTTAAGCCTGCAAAACAAATGCCGACTCAATGACAGTAAGATAAGGTCACTCATATACAATGCCCTGAACCTCAATCCCAAAGGTCTTTCCAGAAGATCCACCGCAGCCATGTATGTGATTGGAGGATATTATTGGCATCCCTTATCAGAAGTGCATGTTTGGGATCCTTTAACCAATACATGGGTCCAGGGAACGGAGATGCCAGATCACACCAGAGAGAGCTATGGGGTYACTAGCTTGGGACCAGACATATATGTGACAGGAGGTTACAGAACAGAGAGCATTGAAGCTCTTGACACTGTGTGGATCTATAACAGTGAGCGAGATGAGTGGACWGAAGGCTGCCCCATGCTTGACGCAAGGTATTACCACTGTGCAGTTTCCTTGAGCGGCTGCATTTATGCATTGGGAGGGTACCGAAAGGGAGCTCCAGTCCAAGAAGCTGAGTTCTATGATCCTTTGAAACAGAAATGGCTTCCCATTGCAAACATGATCAAAGGTAGGTAAATCCTTGTATGGTGTCTGCCTCCATTGTTGATTGTTTTGTATTTGCCATTTTTAAGTGCCATGGAAACATTTCGAGTTTGATCCAAGYTCTAGAGACATCCATGGGAATCTCCTGTTAATGTTCATGGGCTTTGGTTCAGGTCTTTACTAGTCAAATGACTGCAAAAGTAAGTGGTAGTTTCAGTTTAATTTTGCTTTCTTTCAGGAGTAAAATTTCTGTTAAAATTAGAAAGAAATCAGAAAACTACCTGGGATTAGAGTCCATTCAGTACATAATCAAAGTGCAAGCCCCAGTAAAGGGACTGTATTATTTTTATATAAAATTTTCTGCRCAGTCATTTATAAAGGTGTCATAATTTAAAACTTCTTGCATGGAGTCCTTCCTATTTTTGTGTATCATCTCTTCAGGATCCTTTGTTTAATCTTTAGTGTGAGGATAATGAAAAGCACTAACACCTGCCAAAGTAGTGATCTTCTAAAAATATATGAATCACAGCCTAACCRAAGGTACTGACCATGAGATGAGCTCAGTCAGAGCATGGTGCGAAGTAATGCCARGGTCACAGGTTTGATCCCTGTATGTGCCATTCATTTGAGAGTTGGACCTGATGGTCTTTCTGGGTCCCTTCCAACTCAGACTATTCTGTGATTATTTTGTAACAATAACAACAATACTATAGTAAAACATTTCATCATACATTTTTATTAATGAATGCAAATATTTACAATTAATTATACAAAATTACTTTGAGTTGATGCAACATAGTATTTCTCTATGTACATGAGAATTTTTGGATATGTAAAAGAAAAAAAAAGCATGTTTCTAGAACTGTC